ATTGATATGTTTGAGGAAGACGGGATCGAGAGAAAGAGGATCATCGTTTCGGTTGGTCCTTGTTGTACATCACTCCATTATTGGCTCATCAGCATTGTGTAGATTCCTGCGACAGAAGCGGGTCTACGAGCGATTAACGAACTATACTATGAGCATGGCATTCAATCGAATGTGGTGTATGTTAGCGGGATCGCTCATGCTACGGCGTGTGCGGAAGCTGGCGCGAAAGCCATCTCACTATCAGTTGGGCCTGTTCGTCTTCCCTCCTTTCTGTTTTGGTCTGCCTGTAACTGTTCTATCAGATTTTGGACTGGTACGAGCGGAAGCGCAAAACGACCTATGTCAATCTGAGCCGACATCCTGGGATGGAGGTTATCCAGGCCACGTCTGTCTATTTTAAGCTTCATGACATTTCGTGTTACTTGATGGGGACCAATTTGAGAACGGTTCGCGCAATCTTCTGGCGCGTTGCTCGTCTGCTGACCGCTATTGTAGATTGACGAAGTAGGCCCATTAGGGTGCTTGAACGCGGTCACGCTCTCGGACAAACACGTTGCTTCCTTGGAAACGTGTTCTTCCTTGAACGTGCTTGGGGAAGTCGCGGAATCATCTCCGGCTTACGCTCGGGCTGAAGAGGTTAAGATTCCGCTGTCCCCGCCGCATCGAGGCTTGTTGTCGAGGCTGTCGTTTGTATCGAGAGAGATGATGAAGGGGATAACGATGAACACGCTGGGACGTATGAAGTACAAGATGGGGAGGATTGATGAGGTGATATATAAGGAGGTGAAGGCGCAGTTGGCTTACCAGGACACTCGTGTTATTGCGCTCTTGAAGGCGGGGCGAGGTTCGCCGTCGCCGGCATCGACTCCGACGAAGAGGCCTGGGAAGCAACGGGCTGAGGCTCCGTCGCCGACCAGGCGACCGCCCGTACGAACGCGGAAAGTGAGCATGAGCTTCTCTAGCGGGGTGGATTCCACGTCTGTTAGCGTCAATACCTCTCGAGAGAATGAGGACGGGGCGCGGAGTAAGAGTCTACGGGCGTTACTTATAGAGGAAGAGCTTTCTGCAAGGGAGAACCGGAGAAAGCCTGTGGAGGGTCTAGATTATTTCTAATATTATTATCTTATGTACAGCTAGAGAATGTAATGCAAGTAATAAGCTGGTCTGATCCCGGCACTCAGTAGTACCGACGGGACTGCTCCGCCGCTGACCTCTGAGTGCATCCAGATTAAAACGCCACGTAAGGATGGCTTTGATGGCATGCAACGATGACAAAGGGCTGTTTTCAGGCAGCTGTGAAAGCGTTGCAGAAGTGAAGAAGATTATGATAGAGCCCTATCAATCATCCTGAGGTTCAGGTATGCCTCATAAAAATTTCGCTCACCTTGTTCAAATAGACAGTAGTTGTAGCACTCTCAGCGCGTCGAAACTGTGTAAAGACGAGTTTATCCTGATGACTACGACAGGACGACAACTGGTCAGTTTCATTTACATGGCTCGAAGGGTCCCCAAATGGCAAAAGCACCTGAATGATAAACCGATAGATGATATGGCGACCTTCGCGAAAGAAGAGCAATAACCGCGCAGCCGGGTGCGTTTCGTTCTGCCGACGACGCATTGGCCATCATGAGGAGCAGGATAGTTAATCCAAACGTCCGAGGAATGCTACTATCATCTGGCACATCAGTATAAGGGGACGAATGGACCTAGGGAAAAAAGGAAGAAATATGTCCATTCAACCCCGCAAAGCAATAGATTCCCGAAGAAGCAGAATTGGCACAGCAAGAGAACAGTGCTTTGAGATTGAGATCTCAAGCAACGTTTGAGAACACCAAGACGAGTACTGGTGGGCGCCCAGTACAAGACGCGAAACGTCACTGTGCTAAAAACTTGGAACGCCTTGTTCAAAAGACATTTTTCACCTTATCAGTCAAATCCGCGGTGGCTAGTTCAGCCAAACCGCGAGTCTAGTCGAGCTCCATTCGCTGTCCTGATGTTTTTTGAATTGCCTTTTCATTGAAAGGTAAGGATTCCCAGTAAGGTCGTTCTCCCGGAATGTTGGTCGTAAACCAATCTGCGAAGGTGCTAGGATGGTAGGCGAGCCTCAATTAACAGATAGTCAGCACAGTCGGAACAGGCCACCACTCGTGGTATGCATACCTTCAATATGCAGCTCTCTAGACGGTCGTCGTAAACCAATTTTGTGGCGCACTGTGCAGTTGGACATGAAGCTGCATAAGCAATACAGACGGTATGTGGCACACCGCGCGCTCACGGTCCTGTACCCTCAAGGCGTATCATAGCCCCGAGCGCAAACGCTTCAAGCTCATCAGTGTGGAAGGGCTTCGTTCAGGAGAATCCTCAATCTTGATGGAAGGTACCGCCGCCAGAGGTTAGGTTCACATGTGTCAGAAGTGCGCTGACAGGATGGGGGGCGGGTTCAGACGACGGTAAACCGAGACTGCCATTACGCCACTGAAGGTACGCTTCGTTCAATGTATCCCGTTTCTGCCTCCTGAGTCTGGTAGTCTCGATCTGGCGGCGTTCCTCCTCCTGCTCTGACGATAGAGTAAGCAGTCTAGAGACTTGCTTTTCCCAGCGTAAGGCATTATTGTACGCCACATAGCCCAGAATTCGCCTCGACGCGTTGAGGGCGAGGCGCGCCGGCGGCCCCTATCGAAGGGGATGCCGGTATGAGTCATTTGCAAATCCGATTACCTCTGAGATCGCAGCATTGCGTCGTGGCTTGCTCCAATGAACGACGCACCGCCAATCATTCCTGCTCGCCTACGACCTCATTGCCAAGCTTGATGAGCAACAAGTCCTCGATAATGTCCAGAAAAACGGCGAGGTACGCCAAAACGGTGTTCCTCACGTGCCGAGGCACGCTTGGTAACCAGAATTCTGATGCTTCGGGCCAAGTTATTCCTTGTCACCTAGTTTCATCTTACCGCCACCCTTGAGCTCGTTGGGCAGCACGACGCCTCCGTCCCTCCTGCTCTCTGTCCATCCTTTCGGATCCCACATTCTTTTGTTTACGGCCTCTCTTTACCGCAAAACACCATGCTTAACCGTTTATCTGAGCACAAGTTGCTCCGCGCGCGCCAGGGCGGCTTGGGAGGCCTCTTTGGAAATGACAATGGGAACGACGGTGGAGATACTGCCTCGGCGTCGTCCGAGCCGCCGCAGTCGTCGACTGCTGCTGGTATGTCGGTTTTTGGCCAATTGAGACCTGCTACTTAATACGTTTTAGCATCGTCACAACCAGCCAGTCAATCCTCTGCCTCGCCGTCGACTACGGCTGTGACTGAGCGAACGACGACGACTCTGTCGCCCACCTCGTCGCAGGCGCCATCGACTTCCGTCCCGCCAAGTACAACCCAGCGTGCCTCGTCGACCACCACGTCGACCTCCTCGTCCAGTCCATCTTCGTCTATAGTCTCTTCTTCTAGTCCCAGTTCATCTATCATTTCTACTTCTTCCCGCTCTACCACCAGATCGACTGTACGTCTGCATTAGTACTCATTATGGTCAGGTGCTAATGTCGACGCCAGACAAGCTCCTCTACAACTGTCGCGGGATTCGCCAAGACATCGCTCATTGTAAGCACGGATGATGCTAGCGCGACCAGTTCCTTCCGCTCTGTTACCCGTACCAGCGCTTCTTTTGGTGAAGGCTCTACTGTTTCGGCAAGTAATACTCCAACCGTATCTGGAGCTATCAACACTGGTGCTGTGGTTGGTGGTATTGCCGGAGGTCTCGTCGCACTTGCTGCCCTTGGCTTTATCATTTGTTTCTTCATGGTGAGTTCCTATCCATCAGTCGGGTCAATCAATCTAAGCATCTTTACAGCGTCGTCGCAGCCGCCGCAGACGTGCTGACGAGTTTAGCGCGTCACAGTTCCGCCGTTCTGCTATGATCATGCCCGATGACCACTTTGCATCCAACTCCCCGGCGTCGCCCATCGTTCCACAGATGTATGAGCGCGGCCACACTGTCGCTCCGTCTGTGACGAGCATGACGGGCCCCGGCGTCGCAGGACAGGGTGCTGTTTATTATAACCAATCCCAGGCCCAAAATCCCCAGGATTTCAGGAACCAGTATTCCGACCACCCTTACGCGACGAGCCCTCCTCCGCGTAATCAGGCCCAGCCTTTGCAAGAGCGTCCGCAGTATACATTTGGCCAGCCTGATAATAACTACCAACCCAATGTCATGTCGGACGATGGGCACGGCAACTATGAGAGCCATGGCGCGTATAGCTCGGAGCCGCAGATGCAGATGGCCTATAACGCCGAGGATTATTCGGGCTACCATGCGTACTCGCCTGATACGGCGCAGGGCTACGCGGGTGCGCATCCGGGTTATACTGACGCAGGTGGACATGCGGGATACGCTGGTGCCCATGCCCGTACTAAGTCATCGAACACTCTTGCTGATTCAGAAGATGCTTATGGCGGCATATAAGAACACTCTTCCTACCTACATACACCTATTTATGCCCCGCTTCCTATCTCTTTTACATATGTGTTGATTCTTGGTGGGAGTGGGTGTATTCTTTTTCTTATTATTTCGGTCCGCGATACCTACGGCTACTCGGTTTCTAGGGCGGCTGGTGTTGTTGTTTTTTTCATCGATACGTGTTGCATTAGTACTTTGTTCGGGCACTTGCAAGTATTGTATAGGTTGAGTACTACTACATCTGCGCAAATTACAAGTTATTTACAAGCCAAAAGTGGTTGATCAGGTCTGAAGGTCGACAGGATGTGCTATACAACATGTGGCGCGTTGACCTGGACTCTAGATTGAGTGTGTCGTGCTCATTTTACATGGGTGGCGGGACCCAGACGGGCTGAATGCGACATGGCGCGACGCCACATCACGTGTCCACTCAACGTGCTCAATACCTTAGTAACACCCCCAGGGCCCAGAAACTGCGCCACCCTACTCTGGAGTAGAGTAGAGATAATGTAAAAAATAGAGTGTCGCAAAAAGCTAATTACATCCGGCCTGACTTGAACAGACACCTCAAATTTAGAATAATTTCTGGATTTGATGCTCTACGAGCTGAGCTACGGACGTGCGTATGACACTTAGAGCTATGCGTATCAACCGGTTCAAGGTCACTGTCATCCTGATGCATGTCACTGTCAACTATGATACGAAATTTGTACGAAATTCATGTCAATTCTGGGGCCTGATTGAAGAAATGCCTTGTAGTTAGACAGAAATGGGGACAGAATGACTTTGATGCAGATGGTAAGTAATGTGGCGCACATTCGGATTTCTCAATGTGATCCTGACCATCATGATTCATCCTAAGATTGATGAATGTGCCAACAATGTTTGTTGTTGAGCACTGAGCAACCAACGGCTATAGTAGTGTGGCACTATCAAATAACTTCAATCAAATCTCTTCTCCAAATCTGCCCTCCGAGTTCTTGCAGATTTGGGTTGTCAATGAGCGTGACTGGCATCTCGCACTGGCCACCGCGGACATCTTTGTGCATGTCATTGACAACAAATCCATGTTCGACAGGTCATTGAAGATGTGCCTTCTGTTAGACAGTACTTACTTGGATGGAATGACTTTAGTGGGAATGGCACACGATGTGGCGCATATCCTTGAATATTGAGCCGGAGGGCTTTTGAACGTTCATGTTTCCCGGCGTGTGAGCCTGACCATCACGACCCATCAAGGATAGGGAAGGACGTGATGAAGGGACAATCAATTCCTCAACCCAAGAGCATGAGCATGAGTATGATGTGGCACTAAGTGAACTCATATATGTACTGGCTGGAGGGTGCTGCTTGGACCGCCAAACGGAATATATCGCGCTATTATATGTCAACTACGCCTTGACAACGCCGGCAACTGTGGCGTTGATGGACAGGTGAACTTTTTGCCGTTTGAAAATAGACTAAAATAGCCCTCGTGACCAGGGTCTGTGTGACTGACGTGCGGCTTTTTCCCTTTTCTTCGTTTCCCCGACATCGGTCAACGGCGCTGTCTTTAACGACGACCACATACCACCCGCACCGTCGTGCACCCACATTCATTCTCCCATATACGCTCATTCCCACACGTCCTATCCTCAAAAATCACCCATTAAATAATCCGATATAATCATGGCCCAGTACGACCGCTTTGAGCGCCGCAAGGTGCATGCTAAACGCCAGGCAATGGGTGGCGGAGGTGGAGGCCTTTTCCCGACGGCGACTGCGACGGAGACGAGCTCATCTCAGACGTCGGGTGAGTGATGGCGGACCCCTGATGGATGGATTGTATTGATGCAAGTCATCTACAGCGTCTAGCACATCTGCGACCTCATCCGCGCCAACGTCGACCTCCACGTCTACATCTAGCACTCCGACGACGAGCTCTACGTCGACGACATCAAGCACGACGAGTTCGTCTGCTACCTTGTTGTTTCCCATTGTTACATCGAAGAGCGCGACGAGCTCGACTATTAGCACGGTTCGCACTGTACGTTTGTCTTACTACAGCCACAGTCTTGTTTCATCCTGCTACAGACTTCAACAACTCCAGTAGCTGTACCTGCCACTACCGTTGTGGCCCCGACCACAAGCAAGACCACTCATGTCACCCGTACCGCTACCCTCACGTCTGGTACCTCGACGGCTAGCGGCTCCGTGGCCTCTGACACGACCAACACGGACTCCAGCGATGTCGGTACCGGAACCATCATCGGCATTGCTTTGGGATGTATCGTTGCTCTCGCCGTTATTTCTGCTCTCGTCATGATGGCCTTGGTAAGTCTCGTAGAGCATACAATAGTATTCAATTCTTATATTCCGTTTAGCGCCGCTACAAGAAACGCAAGGACGAAGACGAGGCTTTCAGTGCCTCCCAGTTCCGCCGTTCTGCGGTCCTCCTTGACGACGAAATGGACCAGCCTATGGGTGGAGCTGCGTATATGAACCATGGCTCTTCGTTTAGCAACGGTGGTCATGGTGGCGGCGGCGGCCAGTACAGCAACAATGGCCCCGGCAGCGGATATGGCACTACTTTGAGGCCTCCGACTATGATTGAGCGACACATGAACAACAGCCCCGCGTCTTTTGCCCACCCGCAGTTCGCCGGGTACGCGCCCCAGCCGCCCCAACCTGCATTCGGTCATGGCCAAGTTATGGGTCACAACGTGTACTCTGAGCAGGACATCCGTGCTGCGCCATTTGACGGGGATCCTTACCTCACCAGGCAGCCCAGCTCGGCGTCCGGCATGTACCACCCCGACCACGGTTCCCAGCAGTATGATCACCAGCAGTTCCCGCCCGTCCCTCAGCATGCTCAGGATCCGTTCAATTCGCAGCACACGTCGTACACCACCCAGCATGCGTCTTATGCTCCCCAGATCGAACAGCCTCAGCCTCAGCAGCCGTACGCTGATGTGCACCGTGTGCCGTCTATGAGCGGTAGTGACAGCACTCACGCCCACGCCCCATTATCGCTGCTGCAGGTGTCGCTATGCCCGAGGAGCGTCACGAACATGAGGCCGCTATTCCCCACCACGCTCCTGCGCCGCATGAGGTTCCTATTCCCGCGTCGCCGATGCTCCCTCATGACGCTGCTCGCGTACCCCGGCTGGTGCGAGGCGCCCAGACACGGTGTATGATCCCGAGGACGCGTACGGCGGGATGTAAGCCGGTGTGTGTATCGTCTTAAATGCCATGTAAGTATTTATTGAACGGCTGTATCTCGACCCTTCGCTTCCGCCTCCCTCCCCTCCTTCCTCACCTATTGCTGTTTACCGTTACTTTTTCCCTAGTCGGATGGCCTCCTGTGTAACGTTTTTCGAGTTCAAAGTTGTATAGTTAGTTATATCTCGCAGGCGCGTTCTTTTGAGTCAATCGTACACCCCCCCTAGCACCGTCTTGTATACCCGTAGTTTGATATCAATTATTATTTTTTGCTTAATTTCTCGAGTAGAGTTTGTGGCGCAGTAAAGGACTTGCATGGGAAGAGTGTATTTTTTGAATCCACGCCACAGGGATCTAAATGCGTAAAGTGGATCACGACGTTCGTAGCTCAGCTTGTAGAGCACCAAAGACAGCGATCAAATATCTCATTGGAGATGCTGTTCAATCAGGTCGACCGTCCTGCTCGAAATGTTTCACCAAGGTTTTTACTACTTCGGACAGTCAGATTAGGGTGTCGTTGCAAGCCTCCTGGTAGGATGGCGGAGTGCGTCTCCCGACCGGGGTGTGCTTATTGATACTGAGTACCCGGAGCTTGAAAGGCAATCGTTTTTAAACAAGTGGCGTAGCGCTGGTATCGAAACGTATACCTCAGACAAGCTAGGTTCAAGAACCGCTTACACACTGATTTAGAAAGTTCTAACAACATTGTCCGAGTTAGATTAGGGATACTTACATATGATGGCTTTAGGGATTTCTTCATTCGTTCCCTGGACGTGGCATGGATTTTTAAATAACGACAGGAGAGTCGTTCAAATGTCTTCTTCATTGTACAAGCACGGCTCTGCTAAACATCATCATGTCTGTAATTCCAGACCAAGTATGATTCCTTGAACACCAGTCCAAAGATTCGTTGTTTGCCTTAGAAGATAACTGCGCCACGGAACTATCTGCACAGTCCTCAATATTATACAAAATACATGGCTGCATGTACACAACCGTAGCTCAGCTCGCAGAGCATCAATTCACAAATTGTCATTTGAGGTGCCTGGCCGGTTGTATGTACGCAGTGCTCACTTTGCTGACATACTTTTTTCTCAATTCATGAACAACCCTAAAACCTCATGACACCTATGATTCTGCATTCTACAAGACAAATGACATGCATAGTCCACAAAAGCAGCAAGTTCAAAGCGGCGTAACATGCAGAGGCATCTGCGCGCCTTCGCTCTCCTTGCCGCGCACAAGAGGCGTCACAACCGCTCCTACAGCTCTGCGGATCTCCATACCGGCTGGGTACGCCAACTGGAAGTTTTCCATCAAGGCAGTCAAGATCGTCTGCATCTCCATGACACTGATGGAACAAGTTGGTTGATCAGGCAAAACGTCTCGAGCACTCGGAGCAAGCAAACTCACGCAAATCGCCACCCAATGCAGCCACGGATTCCAGCACCTGTGATAAAGTATTAGAGAGTGGCAAGGGAGAAGTTGAGGAAGATATCATTACTGAAGGTAAGCCTATCCGACTTGTTAGCATCATGGCGACAGAACAAAATGTTACTCTTCACTCACACATTCGCATAAACACCAATCGAGACTTTATCCGAGTCGTTGACGCGGTTCTCCAAAAAGCGGTCGGGGTTCCACTCATCGGCGTCTGCGCCCCAGACAGCCGGGTTCCTAGCACCTTCTGTCAGAGGAATAATAGCGGCGGCGCAACGGACTAAGGGCACCTGTTATAATATGCGATGGAAAGACGAACAACCTGTCCCTTCTCGACCGGAATTTCCGTCAACGTGACCCCAGTTTTCGTGACGATTGGCTCGGAGAGCGGAATGATATCGTCCTGTTGGGCTTCCCGGGACAGAACGGTGGCGATTGGGTGAAGGCGGAGTCCCTCCTACCAGAATAATATAAGTAAAGCGCTTATTATAAGAAGAGAGAGAGGCGTAGGTACCTTGATGACGGCGTTCATGAACGGCATGCCGTCGTAGTCCTGAGGAGTGAGCTGGCCTTTCTCTTCGTATCGCTCTCTCACTTGAGCGATTTCTTTCCTGATTCGGTCTTGGTGCTCAGGGTGCCTGCTAAGCTCGTAGAGCACCCAGGTCAATGTCGACGCTGACGTTTCATGGCCACCTATAATCATCGTCCTGATATCACATCACAGAGTCAGAGGCATTATCAAGTGAAAACTGAGAGCGTACGCTATCTGGGAAAGAACCTCGTCCTCGCCGAGCCTGCGTTTATCGTCTGTCTCGGCATTGGCCTTGGCTGGAAGTATGTATCGTCACTGATGGGTGACCTCGGAGAGAAAGGACAAAGCTAACCAAGGACACTCAGGATATCCTTCCCATTGATCGAGTCTGCATTCCACTCGTCGGGTTTGTGCAACTGGGTTTTCAAAATGTCTCGGCCGATAGCCT